TCTATCTATCTATCTATCTATCTATCTATCTATCTATCTATCTATCTATCTATCTATCTATCTATCTATCTATCTATCTACCTACTATATATAATAAAATAGCACTTAGCAATAGCACTTAGACTTATATATACCTCTTCACAGTGCTTTTACAGCCTTCTCGAAGTGGTTCACAGAGTCAGCATATTGCCCCCAACAGTCTGCGTCCCCCCAATTTACCGACCCCGGAAGGGTGGAAGGCTGAGTCAACCTTGAGCCAGTGGGAACTGAACTGCTGAACTGCTTGCAGTGAGCAGTCAGCAGAATTAGCCTGCAGTATTGCATTCTAATTCTGCGCCACCATGGCTTAAATGTCTTTAAGATTTCAATTGTAATAATACGTTATTGAATTGTGAGCTGCCCAAAGTTGGGCGGCTACAGAAATCAAATTAAATCAAATCAATTGATCAATAAAATACAGGCTCTTCCTGGCACATCCATGATGAAGAGGCCATAAACAAAGAGAATAGGACAAGTTTTTCAAAGCAATGTCAACACTTCACCGCAAACTTTGGGGGCAATCTAAAGACAAAGTGTAACTTTCAGAACAGAGTGTCTCTCTCGCATTTACAATCTCCCTGAGCAAACTCTGGTTAGCTGGAAACATCACCAGCCCTTTCCTGGAACTGCTTAGCTTTGGATTTTAATCTCCCCAACATCCCTGCCCTTTCTCCCTTACTCTTCTCTGTGTTCCTCGGCATTAGAGATCTGCCCACTGATGAAGACTCGGACTTTGCACTGGCTCCAACGTTTCCGGCGAGTCAGAAGATAGGGGATGAGGAGGGTCAGCCCTGCGGAGCAAGGAGGGGGAAAAAAAAGTCCAGAGACCAGCTGCATAACATGGTGGCACAACCACACTGCCAAAAATAACATCCTGTCTTGAAAGCAGAGCCTTAGCTGCACTGGGAAGCAGTGGTGAGAGTCAAATAATTTAACAACCGCACTGGGAAGCAGTGGTGAGAGTCAAATAATTTAACAACCGATTCGCTCAGGTTGGCTGTCGTGGGAAGTGTGGCCCATCCCCAACTTCTGGTTTCGCCGCACATATGGGACAAACTTCCCATGACAGCCAACCTGACCCTGGGCTGGTTGTTAAATCGCCCCCCCCCCCCGCTCCCCCAGCTATCAAAGTGGATCTTGGGTGCTGCGCTGCAATGGAGAAATCAGAATTGGAGTGGCTGGCACAATGGAAGAAGGAAAGGGGCCTTCTCTTTTCCTCGCACCAGCCACTCAGTTGCCCGCTTCTCCATTGCAGCGCAGCACCCAGGATCTACTTTGAGAGTGGGGCAGGGATAATTTAACAACCGGTTCGCTTAAACCGGGGTGAATCGACCAAANTCAACTCCCAGAATTCCCCAGCCAGCAAATGCTGGCTGGGGAATTCTGAGAGTTGAAGTCCGGACATCTTCAAGTTGCCAAGGTTGAGAAACATTGCTCTAAGTGCTATCACTATTGCTATTTTATGACCTTTCTTGCCACATTTGTCAAATGAAACAGGCAGTTGCTGTTAACAGGGTTGGGAAGCGAATATTGTTTTCCCGTGGCTTTCGCTTGTCAGAATGCCGTAAAAAAAAAGGTGATCACATGATCCAGGGCACTGCAACCACCATAAATACATACCAGTTGCCAAGCAGCCAAATTTCGATCATGCGACTCTGGGGAGTCGTAAGTGAGAGGTCGTCACGCAACGGTCGTTAAGTGAAAAACAATCACAAGATACTTTTCCCGGTGCCATAACTTTGAACAGTCAACTAAATGAATGGTTGTAAGTCGAGGATTAACTCTCATTGTCTTTTAAAAAAACATGCCCAGCTGCACTCTTTTCGAAAGAAGAGGATTGTGAAGAGGTTACTACTTTTCAAACATTTTTTTTTGCACTTTTTCTTTTTCTTTTGCACGCAGTCCTGGACTTACGACCATTCATTTAGTGACCGTTCAAAGTTACAGCAGCACTGAAAAAGTGGCTTACTATCGTTTTCACAAGACTGTTAACAGTCATGTGATCAAGATCCAGGCATGGTTCACATTTATGACGGTGTCCCAGTCTCACATCATCTCCTTTTGAGTCTTTCTGACAAAAAAAGTCAGTGGGGAATCCCAATTCACTTAACAACCGTGTTACTGGCTTAACAACTGCAGTGATCCAATTAACAACTGGCGGCAGCTGTCATAAAATGGGGCAAAACTCAGTTGTCTTGCTTAGCGACATAAATTTGGGTCACAATTGTGGCCGTAATGTTGAGGACTATCTGTATTGGTTTGAGAAGAGGGAGCTGGATTAGGAAACCAAGGCTCAGGGACAATAATTAGGACAAATCACTGGGTATTTACATGTTCTCTTCAGGTTTCCATATAATTTCAGGCAGCACCACAACCTCACTGAAGCCGAGGCGGAATTTGTCCAACAGAGACCGGATCCTGTAGAACAGAAAGAGTTATTAGACAAGAAAAATCTTTTAATTTCATGATTATATTGTTGACACACCAGATGCTTTGCTTTGTATATCTACTCAAGTGAGACATTTTATAGTTCTTTGGTGTTTTAATGGTTTTTATTGTTTTGGAATGGGATGGAATGGGACAGGACAGGACAGGGTAGAGTAGAGTAGAATAGAATAGAAAAGGAATTCGTCTCTGTTGCATAAGCTCTCAGTGTATATACAAAAGTACAAACAGCAGACTCAATAATTCCTCTGTAGAGCTGTAGCAGCAGGTATTGGGCAGTCTGAGCTTTCTGAATTGATGCAGGAAGAGCATTCTTCATTGTGTGTGGTTGTTTTTTTTTTTGAAGGGACCTTGGAGGTCTTCTAATCCAAACCCACTGCTCAGGCAGGAAACCATATACCATTTCAGACAAATGATTGTCCAATCTTTTCTTTAAAAAATAAAAAACTTCCAGTGGTGGGGCATTCACAACTTCTGCAGGCAAGTTGTTCCACTGATTAATTGTTCTAAGTGTCATGGAATTTCTCCTCAGTTCCAAGTTGCTTCTCTCCTTGATTAGTTTCCACCCATTGCTTCTTGTCCTACCCTCAGGTGCTTTGGAGAATATGCTTGACTCCCTCTTCTTTGTGGCAACCCCTGAGATATTGGAATACTGTTATCATGTCACTCTTAGTCCTTCTTTTCATTAAACTAGACATACCCAATTCCAGCAACCTTTATATGTTTTAAACCTCCAGTTCCCTAATTATTTTTGTTGCTCTTCTCTGCACCCTTTCTAGAGTCTGTCTGTCTGTCTGTCTGTCTGTCTGTCTGTCTGTCTGTCTGTCTGTCT